CGCTCGTCATGAGCAAATGTCGTGTAGCTCCTCTGAAAAAGCTAACCATCGTGCGTCTGGAGACTCAGGCCGCCGTTCTGGCGGTGCGGCTGGCCACCTGTGTGAAAAAGGAGCTGACGCTGGAACTGCACGATACCATATACTGGAGCGACAGCCGAGTCGTGCTGAGTTACATCTCAAATGATAGTAAAAGGTTTCATACCTTCATTGCGAATCGAGTCGCTGAGATTCGCGATTCGACGCATCCCAATCAATGGAGACACACACCGGGCGAATGCAACCCCGCCGACGACTGCTCCCGTGGACTGATGGCTTCTGAACTGACCAGAGACAGCCGCTGGGTAAGAGGGCCCGACTTCCTATGGCGACCGGAGGAATGCTGGCCGAGCAACCGTGAGCGGTCTGAAGTGGACAAAAACGACCCAGAAGCAAAGGCTGTGCTGACCACTCGTTGTGAAGGTCAGCCATCCGCGATCGTAGGACCGGACCCTGATCGGTTTTCCAGCTGGACGCGATTCAAGCGAACTATGGGATGGATTCGCCGATTTCTACACAACTTTGCAGCGACCTATGGCGTAGACGGCAATCCAGCTAGGAAGCTGACTGGTCCGCTGTCATCTGAGGAGCTGCAGAGCGCAGAGACCGCCATCGTGCGCCAGATGCAACGCACCTCCTTTGCTCAGGAGGTCTCAGCGCTAGCCCTCGCCCGCACATGCCATTTTCCCATCCTAGAACGCACATGGGGGGGGGGGGGTGGTTGCCACCCCCCCGCGCCATTTCGTTCCTGTTGGAGATAGAGCTTAGCAGTAAAGACCAAAAAGATTCTTTGGGAAGAGACGAATCCAATGATACCCAGTTTTACCTTCTCAGGTCAGTCATTGACCTTCCAAGTCAGGTCAAACTAAAAAATGTTGCTGTTTTGGGTCACCGTTGGATATCAAGTGCGCTGCTTATCAAATACCGATGACGATGCTGTTTTCTGGTGCCAAGCCAGCTAGAACCTCTTTGTCACACTATCCGACCAGAATTTTGCTGCTGAGGTCATTTCAGGTCAAGTTAGGTCAAGGTCAATTATATGTGTTTGTATGTCTGTGTGTGTCTGTGTGTATACTGATGTGTGCACCGATTGTTTTTGGGTCCATATCACATGAAATCATGATCTGAGAAGCTTTTACCAAAAATGCAGTCAAAAAACTTCACAAAAAGTAAATTCAGCTTGCCTAAAGCGCAATTATCTTAGATGACCTAGGTTGACCTTGACCTTGACCTTGACATCTGTACATCGTCGAACAACATGTTCCATGATAGGTGGGAGGTAAGACTGGCAAAAAAGGCCGAAATCAGGGTGTCAAAAGCTCACAAGGCCCATGGCAAACGCAAGATGTTGAGAATTGGCCATTTGGGTCATGACATGACCTGAAAAACAAGGTCATATCTCCGAAACCAAAAATCACAGAAACTTGAAATTTTCAGTGGACATCAAGAAAGAATGGACGAGCAGCTATACGAAAAATCAGCCTTCTAGCTCTAAAAATGTTGAGTGCAGAGCAGAAAGACTGCCTGGGGGGGGTGGCAACCACCCCCCCCCCCATGTGCGGGCGAGGGCTAGAGAAGGGCCGTGGCGTTCGTACAGACAGCCACCTGCAGCCGCTGACACCTCAGCTGGATGGAGACGGTGTGCTTCGAGTTGGTGGCCGTCTCACTAGCGCACCCTTACCCGAAGAAACTCGCCACCCGGCGATCCTGCCCAGAGACAGCCGTGTGACCGCCCTGATCATTATGTCGTCACATGAAAGACTGATGCATTCTGGAGTAGACCACGTGCTTAATGATCTGCGGATAAAATACTGGATCCCCAGAGGACGTGCGCTCGTGAAGAAGGTGCTGCGCGACTGTCCTCTCTGTCGCCGTCAGCGGGCGACACCCTGTCAGCCACGCATGGCAGACCTGCCAAAGGCCCGCTTTGACAGCTGCTACCCGTTCAACTCAGTCGGCGTTGATTACTTTGGCCCACTTCAGATTAAAACGGGAAAACGCAGCACCGAGAAAAGATACTGCCTGCTGATCACATGCATGTCCACGCGGGCAGTGCACTTGGAGATTTCTCGGACGCTGTCTACGGATAGCTTTCTGATGGCGTTCACCAGGTTTGTGGCGAGAAGAGGACGACCGACACAGGTGTTCTCTGACAATGGAACGAACTTACGAGCTGGAGAGAAGGAACTACGTAAGCTTATTCGAGGCTGGAACCAAACCGTCATATCTGACCGGCTTTCCCAGGATCAGATTCAGTGGCACTTCAACCCCCCCGCCAGTAGTGACATGGGCGGAGTCTGGGAGTCAATGATCGCCTCGGTGAAGAGGGCTCTGAGAGCGGTTCTAGGTCGACTCCTGGTAACTGAAGAAGTGCTGCAGACCGTCATCACGGAGGTGGAGTCTGTGGTCAACAGTCGTCCGTTAACGTACGTGTCAACGGAGGCCGACAGTCTGGAGGCGCTCACGCCATCGCATCTGCTTCTTGGACGTCCATCGATCCAGCTACCACCAGGACTGGTCACTGACGGCGGCATCAGTAGCCGAAGAATCTGGCGTCAGAGTCGGGCACTGGCCAATCAGTTCTGGAGCCGCTGGCTCAAAGAATACGTCCCCAGTCTAGTTTGTCGCAGAAAGTGGACGACAGAGTCACGAAACCTGGTGGCTGGTGACCTGATTCTCTTGGCGGATGACGGTGTGCCGCGCGGTTACTGGCCACTCGGGCGAGTCGTTGAAGTCTTCCCGGGACCAGACGGCCGGGTGCGATCGGCTCGGATCAGGGTGCGTGGCGGCATAGTGCACCGCCCAGCGCGCAAGATATGTGTGCTCGAGGAAGCGGACTCCTGAGTCTTCAACGGCCAGCGAGCAGGATATGAGAGGAAGTAGCTGCCTGAGAAGCGCACATTGGACGGCCATTCTGTCCCTCCGGAGGGGGGAAGATGTTGTTTCCAAAACAACAAATTGAATATTTACGGATGAGGCGTCCATGATGTATTTGCTTGGCACATCAGAAGTGTTGCCTGGCTGTCAGCGCGTTAAGAAATGCGCGAGAATCGATTTTTGTTTTTACTGAATGTGTGATTGATCTGAGGGAATTCAAAAACTAACTTTGTTTTAATTTTGGCCTATAATTTATTATAACGAAATACAACGACCTTTTAATGTGTAAAGCTTGATTTTCTCGTTAAGGCCGGCAAAACAGCAGAAGTGTTGATTGATATCAACAGGCATCATCGTGATCCTCTCGTCTATCCGCATCGAATGATATATATGTTGACCTCGAAAGGTCAAGGTCAAAGATTGACCTCAGGTCACGTGACCTCGAGGTCATCATGTATATCATTCGATGCGTCTTGACAAGCTGAACACAATGAGACCATCCACGCGTCTGTTTCTTGTTCCTGCAAGGAGTTATTGGCCAAAAACCTTTGGTGACCTTTGATGACGTCACATGACCTCACAGCTGCCCAACAGCAAAACAGACCTCAAGGTAGTGAAGGTTGATCGTATATGAAGTCATGTATGGTATATGGGGCCATTCCGACCCGTTTTAGTGGTAAAAACAGGGAGTTGATTTTTCCCGCATTGACTTATAATGGGGAGGTCGCGAAATTGACCTGACCTTAGGTCACCGATATCAAAATTCCGAGATATACAAATTGTAGCTACTAATGACCTAATAATATCCTGCGACTTTCAAAGGCCTCCGACATCTACTGTAGCTCTGGCACGGTGACAAAGTTGCAAAAAAGTGACTTTAGGTTGGCTCATTCAAAGTGACCTGGTGACCTGACCTTAAAAGGTAGGAGGTTCAAACTTGCACACCATGTGTAAAATTGATGAGGTTATAGTCATACCAAATTTCGCGGCGCGTGCGCCGCGGTTTTCCCGCTATTCGCGAAAAACCTCAGGGGGGGGGGCGGATATCCGCCCCCCCGTCGGTGCGCGGGTTAAAAATCAATTTCCAAGTGTGCCATTTCCCATCAGTTCAATCTGAACCATCGTTCTGAGCGAAGTTCGCGACTTCGACAGCCCATATTGTCTGCTCAAATAACCGATCTGTCATGCCACCGAAGCAAAATGCTTCTACGAACTGTTTTATGTGCTAGTTCCATGAGCTCATGACGACATATGCGAGATCAAATTTCGCTAAATGGAGCTTGATTGTAGGCCTCGAAATGAACTGTTCCGTCCCAGTCAGCGATAAACTGGCACGCGATAATCTTATAGACGGCGGCCTGTGCCTAGTGAGAACTCACACTTTACAACATTTCAGGGTAATGGTGCGTTAATGACAATGAGAGAGAGAGAGAGAGAGAGAGAGAGAGAGAGAGAGAGAGAGAGAGAGAGAGAGAGAGAGAGAGAGAGAGAGAGAGAGAGAGAGAGAGAGAGAAAGAGAGAGAGAGAGAGAGAGAGAGAGAGAGAGAGAGAGAGAGAGAGAGAGAGAGAGAGAGAGAGAGAGAGAGAGAGAGAGAGAGAGAGAGAGAGAGAGAGAGAGAGAGAGAGAGAGAGAGAGAGAGTGTGGGTGGGTGGGAGGGAGGGAGGACGGACCTTCAGTTCATGCCTGTGAGTAAGTCGTGCAAAATATTGGTGCAATAGTTCAGCGTCACAGCGCTGTCAAATAGCCTCTGAGATATCTGGCCGTTTATCTGCGAGGCGTTCGGTCAAAGGTTGTGACAAACGACTGGCATTTCACTCCGGATCTGAGCCAATATAAAGCCATGGTGCTGTGCACTTTCCGGCGCCGCTTTTCTACCGAAATTGAAGTTCACAAAAGGTTCACAGAAATAGTCGTTTGTAACGCATGCATCCCACTCTCCAGGACATAGTCAATAATTCCGTCACCTGGTATCGATGACCCCGACTCCAGACCCCCTGTTACCCTCTGGCGCCCCTGGAACCCTCCCCTGACCCTCCACTGCCCGGTGCCCAGCCGGGACTCCGGGAGAACACGTTGCCCCGCTCACCGTTGAGCACGTGCAGTCGGACGCTGGCCGCCGGCAGGCTGCTCGGAGCGCACGTGTAGTTGCCCGAGTCGCCGAGACGGGCGCGCTCCACGCGCAGAGTCGACACCGACGTGGTGTCGTTGGACCGCTGGCTGAGCACGCGGAGCCGGGCGCCGTCGGGCACCACCCGGCCGCCGTCCTGGTACCAGAACGTGTGCGCCGGCGGCGAGACGGTGAGCGCGATCACACAGCGCACCTCGACCGTGCTGCCCGCGTTCACAAACAGGTCCTGCGAGTCGGACTCGATCGACACGCGCGGCTCTGCGGATCGGAGAGAACGGACGGTCACATTGGTGGAGACACGCGGACGGGGAACACTGACGGAGACGCTTTGACCAGGGACACTAGCGGAGACGCTCGGACCGGGAACACTGACGAAGAAGGACGAAGGAACGGGTCACACTAGCGGAGAATTTGAGCGAACGTGTCTTAAGCAGCGACGAAGGGAGCGGTCACAACTGGTGGAGGAACAGGACACAACAAACGCCGCAAAATGCAGAAAATAGGACAAACATAGGTGACTTTGTCGACAACTGATATAAATGCATCATAACGATTGCATTTGGTGCATTTCACAAATAATTACGCGCATTCTTTTGCGAAATGTTCCGGAATCAATCAGCCCTAGAACAGGGTTGCTTTCGTCAATGATCCCGACTTGTGTGCTGCTCCGATTACGCTAACCTATACGACAACATGACTGACTGAAAACAGGGTGATCGTGCTAATTACTACCGGCATGCAAATGACAGGCTGTCACGACGGCACACGCTGAATGATTATCCATCAACAGAATCGTGGGTGAACTGTAGCAACCCCGATTGCAGAACACGAGTTTGGTTCAGTTTGGCTGTTAGTTTGGTGGTGTGTGATGTGTACATTTTTTCTTATTTTTAGCAAAAACGGCCTTATGGTGGTCGTGGAGGCTAGCTAAGGGTATCAACCTTCGTATACCTAAAGCCTCACAATAGGTACCAAGCAATATGAGACAAGCTTCACTAACACGCAATTTGCGGATCTTGGACGACCTTTGATGTGGCCTTTGACGTCATGTATTGGTCTAGAAACCAAACCCACAATTTGGCATCGATTGATCATCGTGACACGAGGCACGCTCGTCATTTGTTGCGTGACATAATACGGTAATGGGCCTTCTCCGTGTAGAGGCAGCGGGCCGGAGAAACAAGTCTTTCTCCCGTTGATCCGCTGCACGAATACCAAAACACCAGCACAACACAGCTCCACTGCGCCTCCGCAGGCAATCCAAGCGACACGCCTTGGTGGTTCACTGATGTTTTATTTATAATGTGCTTAACGGATCGATAATGTTCCAGGGACGGTGAGTCCCCTTTGCTGCTGGACCTGTGCAAAATTAGACATTGAAATGCACTCGCACAATGTCTGAGCCCTAACTGCGCGGGCCAGTGAGTTTGCCTGATACGAGTGCAGGCCATGGGGGCCTTTGAATTCACTTGGCACTAAAATGATGGTACTATTGCATATGCATTCCATCATTGAGCAGTCTGGTCTTGGAAGCGAGAGCTGTTCTAAGCTAAAGGAACGTTTTTGCGCCTCGGCAACCAATCATTGACCCATCTCCGGTGACCCGAAGCGCGCTTTTTCCCAAGGCACTGCTGGACAATCAGATTAATGAATAGCCCTAATCAGTAAATGTTTGTATTGGCTGGCTGCAGCTGTGTCCTGATCAGGGTGAGTGCCGGCCTCTGTAGGCCCCGGTACTGACGCCAGGCTGTGACCAGTGTGTGACGGCGGTACGGCTACCGGTCTCTGAGAGACTATGTATATGTACAGCCCACCGCTAAAGTAATGTAGGGTTTTACCAATCTCAACGGTTGGCTTTGACTGGCGATTGTTTAATGCGGAGTGATCGAAAAGAAGATGTCAGTAGCTAAAGTTGCAGCTGCAAGGGTGACGATACATATAAGCTACATTCAAAGTTTCATTGAAGTCTGGTAAATCGTTCCTAAGCTTCAGAAGCAGAACATACCCATGACTGAAACCCCACATTACTTCTGCTGTGGACTGTACATAGTATCTGGCCAATCTTCGAAAAGTTTCTGACACTGACTAGTCTTTGATAAGTCTCTGACCAGTCTCCATACAGTCTCTGATCTCTGACCAGTCTCCATACAGTCTCTGATCACTGACCAGTCTCAGACCAATATCGGATAAGTCTCTAACCAGTCTCTGACCAGTCTCTGACCAGTCTCTGACCAGTCTCCGACTACTGACCAGTTTTTGACCAGTCGCTAAAGCCCTTGGTACGGACGCCGCGATAGTGAACAAGTCACTGAAGGGCATAACAGGACAGGAAACTGTCACAGAAACAATTAGGAAAGGATATGGGGCCTTTTACAAAGGTGAGGATTGCGTAACTTTGTATACGACGTAACGAAAAATTATCCAAGCTGGAACGACTGCTTAGATTTGGGAAATGTCCCAAGTAGCGACAATCCCTTGACTCACACAGAGTAAATTTGTTATACACGATTCGAGAAATGGTCATTGTAATCCAAATCAAACTGATCCACTATTACAGAGTGCCTCGGTGGCACCGTCAACGCAAATTATACTCCCGTTACTCACTACGTAAACCTCAAAACTGAATCCATGTCTTCTAAATACAAAAATCCCCTGCGATGAGATTAGACATCTTTCGCCGGCCCTGTTGCGTTACTCGACATACGTGTGCGTAATTTTAGTGGTGATATATCACCATCAAACCACTATTTATCTTCGAAATGGACGAAAGCTGAGAGGATATTATTCATTCGCTTTCTTCGCCTCGCAGATATTTGCCATTTGGAGCTAACGGGTGCTCCACGCTCGTAGCAGCACACTCCGGAAGTCATCTAACCCAACAATAAGCTTTGCATCATCATTTAGTAACAGCAACCAGACCAAAAAAAAACCTCTTTTATGGGCGCAGGCTTGAAGTGAAGTGTTCGTGGAAAGCATATGCAAACAATTCTGATATTTTTTATTTTTATATTCATCACAGAAAGGGTTTGACAAATTTGAGACAGAAAACCTAAACAAGCCCCAACCGGCTGTGTGTCTGTGTGTGCCAAAGATGTCGACTGCCGTCGCCGTTAATCCAGGCCGCTGGGCACTGTGACGATATAGTGCCACATTACCGCTGCCACGCCACTATATATTACCACCTGGTTACACAGCAAGTGGGCACCAACTGTGCTATTCCACAATGACTAATTGATGTCCGCAGCAAAGGTATGTGTGATGGATTTGTGAACATTCATTTTGCGCGAGGAACTGTGATGATTCATGTACTGAGCCCTGAGGTTAAAGTGGTAGCGCGGAGTGCCCTGTCCCCAATACTTCATGGCTGTGCAGAATGGTGCCTAGACAGATTGTCACGACACAGTTTCTAAAAGTGGTATGCTCTACACAAAAGGAAGACAATTACTAGAGCTAGGAAGACAAATGAAACACTTTCTCAGGAAAACACAGGAAAGAAAAGAAAAAATGACAAATGTTTGAAACATAGGACTGGCCGGATCATTTGTGTTTTCCCGGCTGCGCATGCATTCGAAATCCATCGCCGCGTAAAACATTTAATCACCCAGACGCTGGGTCCCTCTGAACCATCCACCAGGCGCCGAAATTAAAGCGTCACATGACTTTGAATTCTCAAACTGTTGATATCCGAGAAGTTTCAGGTGAAAGACCGCGAATCATGAAATTTTTGGGCCCTCGAGGGACGCATCTGCTGTCTCAAACATATTTTCTCATGTATAAGGTGAAATATCCTTTTAACAACAACAACAACAACCATTTATTTAGAGACAAAGTTGTCGACAGTGGTGTTATGGGGAGATGGCACAAAGGCCCACAGCCTATCGCTAGGCACCATCCCCCACCCGGTTTGGTCATGTTAGCTTAGTCCTGGCCATTATATCGAGCAGCGACTGAAAGTAATACCGAGCTCCAACCAAGAAAAATCAAACAAGTAAACAAGAAATGAAATGAATACATTAGAACCGTTCAGTACATTTATGAATTATTAGAACCGTTTCGTGTCCAAAAGGTTTTTGGGAAAAGGAACGCTACCCTCCGGGAGCAGTTCAATGTGTTAGTGTTAGTGCCGTATTTGTTTGTTTGTTTGTTTTGTTGGGTTAGGCCCTTTCGGTCGACAAGACCATTGCAGAGCCGGGAGGATGATAGGAATTAGGGGGAGACATTGGTCTGGGCAGGCACCCTAGTGAGTCGCCGGGGCTGAGCCCGTCCAGAGGACAGGCCACCCAGCCCCAAGGCACTCACTGCACCCGGCTACGGGGTGCGCTCCCTCGGGAGCAGCGGTGCCGCTCCAAGGGAGCAGCCCGCATGAGATAAAGTTGCCTGCCCAACCCGGAAAGGGGTTGTGGCGTGGAGGAGAAGGATTTCAGTATCCTGAGGATAGAAGCACGGACAGGTGTTAGTGCCGTATATGAGTGTATCGTGTTGTTCAGTAGATGTGAGGTGATTGAAGTTCCTACCAAGTACAGTTGATATGCTTTGGAAAAGGTTTTGTCTGATTGTCGTGTATAGTGGGCAGTGTATTGTGAAGTGCATAGTAGTTTCTGTTTTGTGACCGCACCGGCAGTGTGGATGAGGATGTTTTTGTATTTTAACCCTCGCCCTGGCAGGGGGGTCGATGCGACCCCCCCCTAAGGTTTTTCGAAGATAGCGTTAAAACGGCGGCGCGCAGCGCCGCCAAATTTGGCACAGCCTATGGGGCAACCTTCTTACATGTGACCTGAAAATTTCAGGTCCGGGTGACCTTAGGTCAGGTCACCAGGTCAGAAAAACCAGTACAACGTCATGGTCAAATTTCAAATTTCTTTTTGCACCTGTCCAACTCACAGTTTTGCACTGATTTCCTTCAAACTTTCAGGATGTGCTAAGTTCACCGAGTTGTATAACATATAATTCGGGTTTTTTGAGGTCACTGACCTGAGGTCAGTTAGAGGTCATTACGTCGTAATGTTAAGCCTATGGGAAAATACTAAATTCGGAAAATACTGGAGATATCCGCTTCGTTCTATCACTTTTGTGCTTTGAAACCACAGTACTCAACAGCAGGTCACTTGGTGCTTCTTTGTTTGGTGTACTTATCCATGGGTCAGGTCAAATGAGGTCAACTGAGGTCAAATGACGTTTTTGCCAATAACTTGGCACATAATGACGCTAGAGCTTAAAAATGGTACCATTGTGTTCCTGGTGATCAGCCGAATCGAATG